CTAGTTATACACCGTTCAGTAAGGAATCTGGACTATAGTCTCTAGTTAGATATTTTTCAGTAGGTAACCTGGATTTCTTTAATAACTTAATTTATTCTTAATTTTATTACATTTTTAATTGTTTAATAATTTATTCTGTTTCTACTCAATTCTATTACACTTTTTATTCTTTAATAATTTATTCTGTTTCTAGTAAATTATATTACATATGTTTTATTGTTTAATAATTTATTCTCTTTCTACTTAATGATATTACATATTTTTATTGTTTACTCATTTGATTTATTCTTTTTCTACTTATTTCTATTACATACTTTTTAATTGTTTTATAATTCATTCTGTTTCTACTAAATTATATTACATATTTTTATTGTTTAATAATCTATTCTGCTTATACTTAATTCTATTATATATTTTTATTGTTTAATAATTACTGATACATATGCATCTAAACATTAATTTATTTTTCCGTTCTCTCTGAAATCACATATTCATTACTAGACTCAAATCAATTCACTTTACTCACTCTTCTATCATAGTCCAAGGCATCTGTAACGTTGGATGCTCACCAAAAACGATCAGCAATAACTAGGCAACGGCAGTAACTTACGCTAACCAACTCCAATCGTTTTATAGTCTCTAGGCAAAAGCATAGTTTCCATTCAATACTAGCAATATTTTCTAATCAACAAGTGTAGTCATCATACAACAACATCGGCCTTTCGTATTAACATGAAATTTAATAGCTAGCACCATTAGCATGTTCTAAACTAAACTTACCAATTCACAACTAGTAATAGACTTTTCTCCATACAACATTTCAGCTCCCTTACCCTTGCTCAACTCCGCTGTAAGTAATGTGCTTAAGAAATGGACTACCCCTGGATGTAAAGCATCGTAATGACATTAAATCTAACTTAGAAAGGTGTAAGCTACTGCATTAGATGTCTCTCACAATGCCTTGAGCATCACACCTGAGGTGGAGAAAATGCAACATTATCACTTGGAACTATGTTTGTTTGTTTGTTTTAATTAATCACAAAGCCACACAAAGGGCTATCTGTGGTCTGCTCACCACGGGTATCGAAACCCGGATTCTAGCGTTGTAAGTCCGCAGACATACCGCTATGCCACTGGGGGGCCTTGGAACGATGAATTACGCCTTTTATCTTTTTTTAGCCGAATTTGAAAGCAACTGTAGAATGCTTTACATACTGCTGTGTGGTTGTAACAATAAAAAGTTGTTTAGCTGTTTGACATTAAGGATGCTTTGTCGTATTATGACGTCCTAGATAATATCGAATTGTTTAAAATGTCATACTGTACAGCCGTAAAGTGAAATATTCAAAAGTCCTGATCTAATATATCAATCTAAATTTCTGTAAGTTTTGTAAAGTGTTTTTTAAAACTGGGTAAATTAAACAAGAAATAGAAAGCAATTATGGAATAATTGGCCCCTCTTTTTTTTTTCTTCTTTTCGTTGCAACTAGAACAAGCAGTAACACAAAGGGGGGCCACGTTTTTCTCTAATCTTTGTTCTTGGACTTTTCACATCTTTTTATGGCTGCCCCTTTATTATAACTTGGCTGCTTATGTAAGATGTTTTCACCAGATGTCACCACTTTTTGTTTTGTATCACTTACTTATATTACTTCGTACGTGTTAGGGTTGTATTTTTTATTGTTAAGCGCAAAGCCCACCACGAGCCAGTGAGGGGCCGCGTGTGAGAGAGATGCAAAATATATGTAGGTGTTTTATACATGGAACTAATAATTTTTCTCCATTTGTGAGTCTTTTTAGGCAAACAGCAATAAGTTTTCTATTTTTTGAAATGTTAAATGCTTTTCATCTAAAAAGGTCAGATTTTTTGCTATCTATTCTTTAGTAAAACTATTTTCTTTCGTATCTTGATTAAAACCTGAACACGCTGCATTAGTGCATTTAAGAAAGTAAGAAGACAAAGGATAAAAACAGCAATACTTTTACAGCTCTTTGATCAATTTCTCATAGTGTCTAACAGGTATAATATGATATATTATTTTAATATTAATTAAAAATAAGATTCCTCTAAAGGTGAGAATTAGAGCCCTAGCTGTTATGGAAGCTATGAAACACATGTGACATCTTAGACCACAACGCAATCTATTCTTTTATTTTATTTTTGTAACTGTCCCTAGACCCTTAAGTCATTAGTTTTAACCTTTTGGCTGTAGAGAATAATTAATCATTAAAACTATCAAATATTACTTATAAAAATATTAAATATGCGCTTCAGTTGTCAACTTTTGTTCAGATTAACATTTACAAGAGGAATTTGTTTTCGTGCCTGTTCTCCTTTGTTTAATATTATTTTTTGTCTCTTCAACAAAGATAAAAAAAAAAGAAAACAATTTTACCACTTTTTCACTGATTATTTCTCTTAATCTAAAACAAATATGCTATTTTATGTGATGCAAGAGTGTTAGAATAATTAGAAACATTAGAATACTGACATTCTAGCCTTGAAACAGCCGTGGTAATGTTCGGATTTGGACAGAAGTTTAGTTTGGCATACAGAGTCACTGAAGTATAACTCCGCCTTCTAACTTAACTCGAATCATTACCGTGATTCTAGA